CACATCAAGATGGGGGAAGGCGATCACGGACGTAGAAAACTACAAAAGAATACAGCTTCAAAGATAACATTGCATGCTAGGTAACTGCTGCGCCTTCACACATTGGGGCCAACTTCTTTGCTTTTGAGTTGTGACCATCCCCCACTTCTTTCCTTATTTTTAGTCATTCATTTACACTAAATAATATATGCACCCCATTGATAGCCCATTTTCAGCTTTGGGAGACATCATTTTTATATAGCAAATGTGAAAAAAAAACAAATTATTCCAATAAAAACCAATAAAATTGAAGCTATTTTTCAATCTAAATTTTTGTTAAAGAGATGGGTTTTTGTCTCCTTTTCACTTTTTATGTATAATACTCCTATCTTTTTGTTTTTTCCATAATTCATCATATTCTGTCATAACTACATAAACAGTGATAATCTCGGTCGAGTAAAGGGTCAGTTTGGTCCTCGATGTTGCATAAAAGGAGTCAAATAAGTCCTTATATAGAAAATACAGTCCGGACGTGCCATTTGAGGTGGTTCCCGGTAGATTTTTTTGATAATTTTTTTTGAGCATCTTATTCATTAAGTCTAGTTTACTCATACCAAATGTCAGCTAAAATTTCAATCGGGAAGGCATTCAAATGAATTCTTGAAGATAACTACGCTTTTAACTTCACACTTATCTTCAAGAATTCATTTGAATGTCTTCCCGATTGAATTTTTATCTGAAATTTGGTATGAGTGAACTAGACTTAATGAATAAGATGTTAAAAAAAATTCATCAAAAAATTTCACAGGTACCACCCCAAATGGCGATGCCCGGATAGAACCTCCTATATGAGGACTTATTTAACCTCTTTTATGCAACTTCGAGTACCGAACTGACTCTTTACTCAATATCCATCGATTCAATGAATTTTAGCGAGACTAAACGAGAGACCATAACGGCTATAGGACTCTTATAGACTCTGTTTTATACTAGTATATAGGGATAAAGGTCAGTTTGGTCCTCGAAGTTGCAAAAAAGGTGTCAAATAAGTCCTTATATAGAATATTCTGTCCGGACGTGCCATTTGAGGTGGCTCCCGGTGGAATTTTTTGATGAAATTTTTTGAGCATCTTATTCATTAAGTCTAGTTTACTCATACCAAATTTCAGATAAAAATTCAATCGGGAAGACATTCAAATGAATTCTTGAAGATAACTATGCCGTTAAAAGCGCTGTTATCTTCAAGAATTCATTTGAATGTATTCCCGGTTGAATTTTTAGCTGAAATTTGGTATGAGTAAACTAGACTTAATGAATAAGATGTTCAAAAAAAATTTATCACAAAATTCCACCGGGAGCCACCTCAAATGGCACGTCCAGACAGAATCTTCTATATGAGGACTTATTTGACGCCTTTTTTGCAACTTCGAGGACCAAACTGACCCTTTACTCCTAGTGTGTATAACATTGAGGTGGCATAAATTGGTTGATATAGCGGTGTCAAAATTCTGTCATAGGCCGCCTTTTTATATATAACATTGAGGTGGCCCTATATATATAGCGGTATATATAGGGCTATAGGCCTTTTTATATTCCTTTATTTTCATAAAATTTTTCTTATTTAGCGGTGTCAAAAGACATTGTCACATATTAATTTAACAAATCTAAAGCTATTTCTTTATATTCGTGACAAATATCGCAACTTTTACTTTGGTATTCTCGGTGCAAGTCAATTTTGATCAAGTTTTATGGTATAGAGGGAGTATAATTTTTTTAATTAATTAATATATTATATTTCAATTAGCAGATTTCAACTCAATCATAATTTCAGGGATTTCAAGAATGTATGCAGAGTTTTTTACAAAAATATTACTAAAATAAAATTTATTTACAAAAATATGACTATTAGTGAATGTAGTGTCATAGTGTCATAGTTGAACATACGTTACTAAGATTTCATTACTACTCTAGTCATTATTCATATTTTTGTAATCTTCGTTTTAGTCAAAAATATGTAATAATTATTTCATGTAAACTCACTTAGCTCACAGAATTTCAATTTAAGTAGATGGACTCCTAATATTATGGATTTTTTACAAAAATATTACTAAAATAAAACTTATTGGAAAGAAAAAACTTAAAGTATTTAAAATTGAACGTGAAGGGCCAAATGATAATATGTAAACAGATAACTCCATTTTTATTGTAAAAATCTGGAGAAAATGACCTCACAATGCAAACTGATCTTTTTCTTTTCATCTCAAGTAAGGTGCATGTGTGTGTTTACATAAACACACATATAAATATGGATAAGCTGGTGGGAAATAAAAATATCGTTGAATTTCGTCACCCTGAAAATGTCTTTATTAAATTATTAAATGAATATTACGATAATTATACACTCCGTATAATAATGATAACAAATAATACTCCGTAATAGTTAACCTAACATGGTCTTCTAAGCAATATATGAAGGGGTTAGGTCACCAATATTACTAAAAATTAGCAAATGGACCAAAAAGTAACTTTCTCTTTAATTTCCAAAAATGTGACTAATTAACATTATACTTACTAAATTACCCCTAACCCCTAGTGACTTTGTCAAACAGTGACCTAGTCCGTCACAGTGACCTACCATACAGTGACCTCCGTCATAGTGACTTCCGCCGGCCACCGCCACCGGCCACCGTGACAGTGACCAACCCTATAGTGACTTCCGTTAAGTGACCAGTTGATATAGTGACTTCCGTTAAGTGACCATTACAGTGACCAACACCAAATTACAGTGATCAATTTTACTATTATCATTGATCATCAAAAGTCAATTTGACGAATCTTTTTGGATTAGAGGGAGTACTTTTTTCATTCTTTTAATCTCAATAATATTTTATTGATACTAGAATTTTTTAAAAATAACTATTACATATTTGAAATTTTAAGACTTTTCCATCAGATACTACACTTTCCATCTGAAAAATCCGATGTCATAAATTCCCCTTGAAAATACTTGACATGTAAATTCTAAAATTCCCCTTAAATACTTGAAAAACGAAATGATATTTTTACCAAATCATAAAAATAAAACAAATTTGAATATGACAAATATTTAATAGCACTACATAACCACAAAATATGTGGTTTAAATTATGTGTGGGAAAACTGTCAAATAGGTCCTCGAACTTTCATAAAAAAGTCAACTAAGTCCTTATTTAGGAAGCTCTGTCCGGCCGTATCGATTTGGGGCGGTTTCGGGTGGAACTTTTTGATGAATTTTTTTGAACATCTTATTCATCAAGTGTAATTTACTCATACCAAATATGAGCTAAAACTTCAATCGGGAACGCATTCAAATTAATTCTTGAAGATAACTGCTCATTTAACTGCACAGTTATCTTCAAGAATTAATTTGAATTTGTTCGGGATTGAAGTTTTAGCTTAAATTTGGTATGGGTAAATTAGATTTGATGAATAAGATGCTAAAAAATTCCATTAAAAAATTCCACCAGGAATCGTCCCAAATCGTGAAGGCCGAACAGAGCCTCCTAAATAAGGACTTAATTGACTTTTTTATAAAAGTTCGAGGACCTATTTGACGGTTTTCCCAATTATATGTAATTGTCATTGATGTATACCGGTATACGTAATATGTTGCGAAATTGTCAAATTACATATCATGGCACATAAAATATGTTACGTTGGTTAGCCTGCTACGACCTATCATGTTTAATAATGACAAATACGGATTAATAAAGATAATTTCTTAATAGTAATATTTAAATTTATTATTAGTGATTAACATTTACTTATTTAGAATTCGATTATGATAACACGATCATTATACGGATTAATATGATGGGAAATTTATGATTAACCCTTATGATTTGATCATAATTACTAGTACAACCTTGTAATTTTAGATTCCAACTATATACCTCTTGAACTTTGATTCTATATGATGTCTCCCCCTTCCATCAAAATCCTACTAAGAAAATATGCGACTCAATAACAAACATCATTAAATAGACATTGTTTTGACCAATATACCCTTATTAGGGATTATTTGTTCAATACACTCATTACTTTTTCTAATACTACGTACGGAGTATATATTTGTCGTTGCAACTCTTCGCAACCCACTTGATTTAAGAGTAGGACGTAATCCCACAACAGAACAATGTTTTGAAAATCAACTTCCTTCAATTAAATTTTTGGAGTTGCACTAGAAGCCAAACGGTCTGCTTTCCGATTCTCATATCAATGATTCTCCACTAGCCAAACTAAGATAAAGAATATTGATGTAGTCTTGAAGTTTATTTTCATCAGTTAGACTAAGTGGGGTTGAATGCATGCCAAAATCAACTCCCAGACGATTGCACGCCTCAACAAATATGCATCCTATCAACTAAGGTTCTTCAATTTTCCTTTAATGTAAGAATGAGTCTATGAAGTTGGAGAAAAAAGGAGGAAAAACATATAAACTAAGCGTGCAGCAGTGATGCATGTGAAACGAAACCATCAATTCATTGTTTGAATACTATTTGGGATAAACCTGAGAAGCTCTTGTTTTACACTCCGTAGTTTATTTCAATAGAGGACATTTTGGGAAATTCCTCTAACAATTAACCATCAAATTAACTTAAAGTTAATGGAAGGGGGAGATTCCTTCTATAATAAAAGCCCAGGGGGTAATAATCTAGTTCTAAAAATACAAGGTTGATTTTATAATTATGACCAAACCTTAAGGGGCTAATAATTATTTTCCCTAATACTATCATGATTTTTTACCGTGCTCTCCTGACTGGGTTATTGGTGAACGATCAAGCCTCGAGGTTGAGTTGAGTCCGATTGTGATACCCAAACTCCTGCTGCAATTTGTTTATTTATTTTTTGAAGAAGCTGCAATTTGTTTTTATTCTTTCAATTGCAAATGAAAACTAAGGTGTACACAAACAAATATATGAATTCTTATTTAGGTAGACTTAAGTTCTAGTTCTACGATTCTATGATTCTATCCAAAGATATTTTCTCTCCACAAAAAGCTTGGAAATCTTTTATAGAGAATCACTCATAAGTACATGGAAGTATGGAACGAAGCACAACAAAATAAAAACATACCATATGTAGGTAAAAGGTCAACAACAAAAGCACAGAACAATTGCCATGTTAAGGCACTTGTAATCTTGTATAAGTTTAGCAACACAATTATCCAACTTGTTCAGCAATCCACAACAAAGGTCGAAACCCCTTAAACCCTGAATCTACTAAGGGTTGAATCTACAGCTCTCTATCTTGAAATCAAACAATCACATTATGCGACTTCAGAAAACTCGCGTGTGTAATATCCTTTATGGCACACATCGAAATCATGAAACTTACTCTTGCGCAATGGGGTAAACACATGCCTGCATGGGGGATAAGCAATACATGATGAAATCCCAAGAAATTTTAAGCACTTTCGCCTATGGTAGAAGATCAGTCACTTTACCAACAGCAACCGTTTTCCCTGGAAAAAAATGTTGAAAAAGTCTTGATGCATGCTGCACAGAGATAATAAAGACTAAAATCTAGAAAACATTATATGGGACAGAAAGGACAAGTTGCAAACCCTCTGTTCGAAGAGTGAATCTTCCAAGTTGGGGAAAATCAGAGAATTTCTCAATGCAAATGAGATTATTCACCTGGGATGGTAAAAGCACCAAAATCATATTATAACAAATTCATCCTCAAAGGTTCGCAATACCAACAAACAATGTATAAGAAGAGAATAAAAGCAAGAGGGGTTAGAACTTAAGATAATCAAAGACAAAAAGGAGGGTGGTAAAGAGTAAGGCACTCGGACAATTTACTAAGAAGCCAACCTGAACACGACACACAACAAAAGCACCATTCTTAACATAGAGTGGTTTCTTTTTCATAGGTTTCCTTGTTTTTGGATCAATTTGCTGCATCAGTTCTACTATTTCACATTCCTCAACCACTGAGTGAATGTGCAACACGGCCTTGTAACCAGCAGTAAAAATTGCCTGAAAAAAACAGTCTACAAATTAAACTGATCTCTTAAAAAGCCAATAAATGAATAATAATAATAATAATGCTAAGAAAGCTTCAATTCATACATTATCTAGTAACTCCAGGATTGACAGCTGTGCAACAAACTCGGTAACGGCAGGTACTGGCTTTACTGCATCAAGAGAACTATTACACACTTATAATACAACTTTAATTTGAACAAGAACAACAATACATATACATAGACTATAAACTTGAATTTAATCAAAGATCTTAATGATTTTGTAGCTGGTCTTTTCATAACAAATGCTTCAAAATTTTATTTTTATAGAACCAAGTACAATTACAACGAAAAATATGATACACTAATACGTTCACAATAATGGTATATTAACCAAAAACCCTCTCTTAAGATTTCTATCGCAACAAAAAAAAATCAGATATTTTCTGAAGAATAACACTGTTCCCATTTACATCTTTCATGTATAATAAGTAGGAAAATACATGAAATGTTGTAAATTATATTCAAAATGGCCACTGCCTACTGGTTAAGCTTTTCAATTTTTTGCAGATCGTCCTCAAGCACTTATCCATATAATCCAAATAGACCATTTGTTAAAACCAAGGTAGTCAAAAGCGCTCGCCCCAGCGCTTAAGCGCACCAGGCACAGCGAGCAGGGCCTTCAGCGCTTGGGAGAAGGGGAGGCGCACATATCTGGGTCAGGCACAGAATAAGCGCAAGAAGCGCAGGAGGCGCACGCCTGGGTCGCCTGGTCTGGAAAAGGCTGACAACCTTTATTTTTGGTTTAAAACTTTAAAAAATAATTAGCCCATATCTTTAATAACACTCAGCCCATCTAAATAATAGGGTAAAAAAAATTAAACCTACGTAAAACCTTTAAGTTAAGTACGTAAAAACTTAAAACCTTGTGTAAAACACTAAGTTATATCGCTAGCCATCATCGGCTCTTCAGCCTACTCACTCTTCTCACTCAAGTTGCTCTACACCATCCAGTTATTTCAGTTTTCTTCATCAACTTAAGCAAACTCAGTTCTCCCATATATTACTATGTATATAATACTCTATACTACTCATAAAAATGTATAAATACTCTGCATTACTCTATATTACTCACAACACTAGTATATTGTTATGTATATAATAAAGTAATAGTACTCAGTATTACTCTATATTACTCACAGCATCATCAGTATATTGCTTTGTATATAATAGTCATAATATTCTGTATTACTCTATGTTACTCACAGCACTAGTATGTTGCTATGTTATTAATAAAGTAATAGTACTATGTAGGCTAACAAGTTTAACAAGGGGAAATAGGCTCCAATTTGATTGTCTTTTATTTATAGTTTTAGTATTAAAGCCATGAATTCTGAATTTGGTGTTCTATTTTTTGTAAATCATGACTTTATTTTGGTGAATCATGAATTTTATATGTATTTGGTTCAATATGATGTTACATACATCATATTTGGTAATTATAGAATAGTATATGTGATTTTATCTAAGTAACGCGCTTCACCCGAGTCAGGCGAGCGCTTTATTTGTGCCTTGCGCCTCAGGCGCTGGAAGGCCCCTAGCGCTTCAAATGCGCCTTTCGACTTTGACTACCTTGGTTAAAACAGAAACAACATACACAGTAGCTCTCTAGATTCTACCAAGGCAGGTTTTTTCTTCCCCAATGACAAACACCACAAAAAATGATCACAACTGAAGAACCCCATCAACAGACATATAACTCTAAAAAAGGAAAACTATTAAGTATTAAAAAAATTAATGGTATTTACCAACACTGCATAAAACAAAGCCTGACAAGATGTCCTCTTCCTCAATCCCAGATACTCTGACTCGTAAGTTTTCTCCAGGCCCTGCTCGTCTGACCTTATCTTCATCAATGAATACAGCTAGAACTTTAACAGCTGCCTGCGAAAACAAAAGAATGAACAACTCTTGGAATGGTAATCCTACATGAATCTTAAAATTTGAAATTATCAATAATAACAACTTTTTTCCAAAAATTAAGTATATTGAGAAACACCTTATTGGGCATCACCAACAAACTGTCACCCTCACGTACACTCCCAGATTCAACTTTCCCCATAACAACTGTTCCCATATCTTTAAACTTGTCAATAATTGGCATTCTGCATATACATATAAAGTTAGTGAAAAGACCTTGGAACCAAATAAGATATAAAAGGTCACTCCAGTAAAATTAAACACGCATTTCATGTATAACTATACTCATATAAGCTAAATCAAAGGCTGCAGACATGCACTCCAAAATTTTAATTGATATCCAAAATTATGAAAGTGACCAAATGAGGGTGTTGTTACCTGAAAGGACCTTTAGGATCACGAGGTGGAACTTCAACTGCATCAAGAGCTTCAAATAGGCATGGGCCGTTCCACCATGGACAAGTAGTTTTATCTAGACGTGTTTTCAAATTTAAACCCAAAATCCCAGATATGGGAAGAAATTGAACATCTGTAATTAGAAAATATAACCTTTAGAGGAGAAACATAAGTGATGAATTCTGCATTGGTGATTCTATGGAAACTCAATAGTATGGAATTTATCAAGAAAGTTATTCACTTGACAGCAACAAAATTTGAAACTTAATAATCACGCCCAAGAAAAATGGAAAATTAGGAATCACAATTTACAACTATTTTAAACTATACAAGTTTTATCCACTTCAGATCAGGCTACAAAATGGACCCTAAGTATGAGCTATGTACATTTCACTAGGAGTTGTGCCATACTCTCAACTTGTCTGAAGTCTCTTAGGCGACCTTTGGCAAAGATTGGGTGTCATCCAGTCTTCATGGAGACGCCAATCGCTGTTTTTTAGACCCACATGCGCAAGCCAGAGAAACCCTAAACCTTATAGCCTTTGATATGTCATGAATCGCTTCCGCAAGTCACCAATGTAGGTATTCTTCTGTCATCTACACTAGCTCGTCACTCTTAACTACAAACTTTTTCTCTCTTTTGATGTTTAGTTTCCTAGTTTCTGAAATCTTAAGATCACTGTTCCAGACTCATACTTGTATGCATTACTGTATTCAGTAGTTGTGTACTAGTGTTCCAGCTGGAGTCCAACTTTAGAAATGGGTTAACACTTTTTCACTACGCAGCTGGACTCTGTCTTTAAAATAGCTCAGCTTTGATGTATAGTTCATATATATGATAGAGGATATTGAATCTCTGAAGTGCAATTGTTACTTATGTGCCATATAATTAATGAAAATTATACTCTTGTTTTGAGTTATTAAAAAAGTACTGCGTATTAAATACTCCTCCATCCCATTGGACTTTGCCAATATTCCTTTTTTACTTGTCCCAAAAAACATTGCCACTTTCCTATTAAAGCAACTAATTTGAGGTTCTACACATTTCTCTCTCCTTTGCACAAATTTCAACCACACAATTTTTACTATTCTTATTTCTCACCTAACTTGCACTTGGCAAAGTCTACCGGGACGGAGGTAGTACTTGTTTTAAATTACAACTTTATAATTTAAAATTAAATATATATATTTATTATATATGATGTGACTTGTTGCCTAGTTGTCGCATAATCGGGCGCCAAAGCAATAAGGTAAATTTAATTGATGAAAATTATACTCTTGTTTTGAGTTATTAAAAAAGAACAAAGTATTAAATACTTGTTTTAAATTACAAGTTTATAATTTAAATTTAAATATATTTATTAATTATACTTAAATATTATATATGATGTGACTTTTTGCCTAGTTGTCGCCTAATCGGACGCTTAGGCGATAAGGTGGTCAGCTGGTGCTGCGACTCACCTAGCTGCCGTGATAACCATGCCACCATTGCAACACTGGACAACACAAATGTGGACATAAGAGGATTTGTCTGCTTACCTTTCTTCACATTATACCCAGAAGACTTCAAAAACGGTACCATTTTCCCCTCGATTTCATCATACCTGAAAAGATAGAACCCTACTAAGGAATTGGGGGGAAATCAAGAAGCGTACTGAAAGATGCTCTCGAAGCAAAAACCTTTCTTTTGACCAGTTGACAGTAGGCTCATCCATTTTATTCACAACAATGAGGAGCTTTGTGACACCAAGAGTCTTTGCAAGTTGAACATGTTCACGTGTTTGTCCTCCTCTTTCATATCCAGTTTCGAACTCACCCTTCCTAGCAGATATCACCTAGATTGTGAGGCAAAATAATTGTTTTCAGATTGTAAGGTAAAACTGGAAAATGAGAACACTTTATTCATTATGATCAGGAGTTACAGGTCTAGCAATCAATAAGCCTTACCAGTACACCTATATCAGCTTGGGAAGCTCCACTAATCATATTGGGTACATAGCTCTTGTGCCCCTGGAGAACATGGAATTAGAAAAGTTAGAATGTGTGGAGCAAGAAAGGAAATGACGCCAGAAACAACTAGCATATTGCAAGTGCGACAGGCTATTACCACATATAGAATATAAGAAAATTTTATCTTAACTAAAATATGGGCCTAAAGAAAAAGTAAAACATATAAACCATTGCTTGAGCAGTTTACCGGAGCATCCAAAATAGTGAATCTTGTAGTTTCTGTTTCAAAATGCGCTCTTCCAACTTCAACAGTAATCCCCTGTTTATCAAATTGCAATAACCGAAAGAGAGATTTTAATATCAATACTGAAAGTAGTTGGTCATTTAACTCATTTGCATTAAATTATAGTAGTAGTATTCACTAATTTTAGACAATAGATTGACAGTTGACAGTTGACACTAAATTCCCCTGGCCGCAACATAGTTGGAATTAAGATGTCAATAATGATGGCAATGATGGAATTGCATAATTGACTTTTGAGCTATACAGTTGTGGTTGAACATAATTTTTTAATGTGGAATTATCATGTGAATGAGTACCTTATCCCTCTCTTCTTCATTTGTGTCCATAATATATGCCATATACCTAATACAGAAATGAAATAAAAAATGTCAGTATTGTGGGTAACTATGAAGCATAAGGCATTTATAGTTTATACATTAGAACTAGGGTTTCAACCTGTTATAAATTTCTTTTATCGAAAATTGTTATTATTTCAAATCAGAAAACAATTTGTAATGGCTTCAACCCTCCAGTATGAATAGAGGAAAAAGCTGCTAGCTTATAATCACCACTGCATAAACTCTTGAATCGCAATAACATTAAACTAGGATGTCCCTGGACTCCTTTCAATGATATTTAAATCAAAAATTATCAGAAGCAATTAAAGAGGACTTGCACTCCTATTAAACTAAGTAAAGCACTTTTATTTCCAGGGCTCCATGCTACATGCCTACATGTTAGCAAAAGTGATGAACTGAAGTAAACAAAGTGATGAAATCTACTGTGTAATAGTAAATACAACTCTGAGAGACTTCCAAGACTGGTTTAAGGCAATTAAAAATTCCCATGAAGTCTTCGCTTCATTAAAGAGTTGCTCGATGAAATAAAAACTTAGACAAGTAGATATAAATGCAAGCAAGACTAACCAGCTCTCTCTACTTTTGTCCTTTGCTTCTTTCTCATACTTCTGGATTGTACGATCATCTACTTGTCCACTAAGGAACAATATCTGTCCTCCAATAGTTGATTTTCCAGCATCTGGGCGTATGAGAGAGAACAAAGGTAAAAACTTAATTACAATACTTACAACATGATATGATACTGAATCTTAGCTTGTAGCTTGCAATCTATGATTCCAGACTTATCTCCAGATGCTAAAGGATTTTGCACAATCACTTTTTCCATGTGAAAGATGTCCGTTTCAATAAAAAGTGGCATAAAAATATAGATAAATTAATAATGCGCAAGATTTCCAACACACGCACATAGGAAACAATTCCATACCCACATGCCCTATGAATACAACATTCAAATGTCGTTTTTTGTGGATTTCTGCTTCATCATCTTGAGATGGTGTTTTCTTTTCTTTTTCTGTAAAGAATACAAAACGGTATGAGCACATAAAATTTCTTAGCATAAAAACGAGTAAATATTTAATGCTAGAAGAGATTGATATTTGATACATGTTGAAACAATATAGCACTGACTTTTGCCTCAGCAGGTGTTAATTCCATTGAGTGGGGTGTAAAACAAATGAGGAAAGTGAACGGAAGACACCACATTGTGTGGGATCTTTGCGAATAATAAAATAAGAAGGGCCTTAGGGGTAACACCTTATATCAATGATTCCATTTTTGTAAATAAATAGTTTGCCTAGCCAACTATGTACTCTATATAAATAAATGATTGTATCAATGTTATTTAAGGAAATAGATGTGTAGAGAATGATTACAATTCCACACCATAGCAATTGGCAATGCAGAAAACACTCTGAAAAACAAGAGTATAGATATAAATAGATACACAGTTACCAAAGGAACTAATCAACTGCAGACCTTCTGTAGTGCCTTGACTGCCTTCGGGCTCAATATGCTTCGGAACAGAGTTCTCTTGTGGCTTTATTTCAACTTCTGTAGCAAAAAACGTTACAACACGCTTAGTGTGGATGGAAAAATAATTTCATTATGATACTTGGAGCAATGCTTCTTCTACAAAACTTTCATCATCTTCTAGAAAACGTTAAAGCCAGAAATTATAGACTAGTTTGAAAATATCAATGCAACTACAAAGATTGGAGTTTGAAGAGAAGTTGACTGCTAGAGGTATTTGATTGTCTGGGTTCCTCTGGAAGGGAGTGGGGTGTGGTCTATAAGCAAAAGAAAATTACTACCTCCATCCCACTATGTTTGGGACAATTCGGTTTACGATGCTTGACCGACGATAAAGCAAACAGATCCCTGTCCGCACTCAAATTATTTTTAGATAAAAATAATTACATATTCAGAAACTACATTAAAATCTTTACAAAGTCGCAAACACCTGAATCAAATTTGATAAAAAATTGATATATAAAATAAGAGATTAAGAGTGATTTGTGTTGACCAAATGAATAGTGTCTGGGACAATCTTAGCGGGACGGAGGGAGTATTAAGTATTTATCTCTTCATTTTTTTCCAAATAACCAAAATCATCTAATTTGCATGAATGAGTATATAACAGTTTTGAAAAATTGAATATGGCATATCAGATTCAAGTTCCTCTTAGAAGTTGGAGCTTATAGGAATGGAGTGCTTAGCAGTTAGCACACTACATCAAGTGGGTTGGAGAGCTTGCTTTTTTCTTTATTTAGCAGAAAGTGGAACCAGTTTTTAACTTTTGATCTGACTCAAATCATATTTTCCCTTTACAAGTATCCTAGTCCGCACCTATCTCTCTAACAGTACCACATACAGAAGACTTTATGAAAGCCATGTCTTGTATTAATATATTTCTATAAAATGCTCACTGAACCATGCACATAATGAATGAATAAAAAAGTTGACTCTTTGACACTTCACAGGTGATAGAACTACCCAATAAAAGGAAGCTTTGTGGGAAGTCTAACAGAAAAGGAAATTCATAAAATGTAACTTTTAATTAAATTCTGAGTGTCACTACTTATTTCTCTCATGAGCATTTCTGTAACTGGCTTTACCATTTCACTTCATATTTATAGGTATCGTTCAGCAGTTTCTTAGACTCCAGTCTTAAGACTATTAACCTAGGGCATGTAAATGAGCAAGCAAAACTGCACACAGTACTATCATTTTGACAAATAATAGAAATAATGTGTTACTGTTTACTGACAGTTTAATGTGAAAGAAAGTTTTTCACTGCTATATTGATGTGAAAGATAGTTTTTTGCTGTTAAATTGGTGTGAAAGAAAGTTTCTTTACTGATAATTTGATTTGAAAGAAAGTTTTGGAAAAGATATTCATCAAGACAATGTAAAGGTACTAAGGTCACAATTAATCACATCATTATAAGTTTGTAAGTGCATTAAACTACCTCAAAAGGATAAAAAAAACATAAAACATAAGGAGTATTTGGCAAGCATAGTTGATCGACCAAAACACTGTTAGCAATACCTGTTTTGCATGTGTCATCAGACTTTGGAACTTCATCAGGTTTTGCTTCATCTGCACTGGCTATATGACTCTCTTCTGCTCCAAAGAAGTCACAGGGAAAACGTACAAAACAAACATACGTTAAGATGTACAATCTTTGAAATCTGTCTAATATGAAAGAAGTGTGCGACTATTTACAGTTGAATCAAATAACCATGTCCTCATAAGACTTATAACTGTAAGTATTCTCTATTCACTATTAGATACAAAGTAGATAGATGGTCTTGGTGATGAAGATATACCAAATGAATCGAGCTGGAGAGCCTTGATATCCTCTTCAATATCTGAAATTGGATGCAAATAGTCGATTAAACATGATATTAATGTTCGTGACCATGAGAAAGCCAATAAATAGTCATGAACTCATGATAAAGCAATTCATAAGTCACAAAACAACTTGTTTTGAAACTTAAGCTATAACAAAACAGTGACACGTGATCACTCAATTAGATCGCACAACTTAAGGGAGCATGGAGGCATCATTGGAACCGCCAGTCCTCTTACCACCACCACCAGCTGATGTTGGATTCTAAGACATTATCCCACTACCAAGAACTTGAGCTCACAGATAACAGAGAGGCCCAGAGGATGTGGCGCCCAAAGAAGATTGAGGTGGAGGAGAAATGTAAGGAAGAAATGTAGAGGATGGGGCTGCCGTTGCTGGTTTACACTTCTCAGGTAGACAGAAGTGATTTTTCTATATTGAATGATTTTCAGATGTTATAAGTTAAGGATAAAGAATAACTTTTGATTGAACGTTAAAGAAATGGATAAACTAACCAAATCCACGGCTATAAACGCTCACTATTCTTTCCTGAAGTGGAAACACACGTTTAAGCCTAATATTTAAGTTTCGGACTATTTTAAATGAGAAGCCATTTTTTTAATATGATAAAGCCCATCTAAATATCTAGATTAAAGGTCCAAACGGCATAAACCAGCATTAAACAACACAAGTCACAGTGTTCGCTAAACTTGCACTAAACAGCACAAGCCACAGTGTCCGCTGCCTCAACTCTCCTGATCTGCTCTACTCATGTTACCTTAGTGTTCACTATCTCCTCCACATCAACCGCAGAAGCTGGCAGTACTCAACAATCAATGACAGTAAGTTTTCTTCTCCTTCATATATACTCTATAGAACTCAAACATATACTCCGTATATTTATACTATCACTCTATCATGTGCAAGCTTGTTTGGCTGTTTCTTCTTCTTATTTAATATTTTCATTCACGTACACTTCATATAATTTAGTCATTGAATAGTTTCATGAAGTATACTGTATAAATAATATCTGCCTTATACATTTACAGGACATGGAAGGTCGAACTTCAGCAACGGGTCCTAAAGCTGCCAAATCAGCAAAAATAGACCTGGCTTGAAAACACAATTACTTGGCTCATGAAAATGATGCAAATGCCTGACTTTATTTTGGTCAATCACGACTTTACAATGTAGTTGGTTCAATATGATGTTATATACGTCATGTTTGATAATTGCATGATATTATATGTGATATTTTCCAAGTAATGTGACTTAGGTGAGTCAGGCAAAGCGCATTTTTGCGCCTTGTGTCTCAGGCGATGGGATTACTCCGTCACCTTGAGTGTGACTCGAGACTTTGACTACCTTGGTTTTGATTTAAACGTTGAGTCATATGACTCATATAAGTTAGTTGCTAATGCTCTTAAGTGCAGGAAAACCAGTTTTAAGAAGAAAAAAAATAGTTCATATATGTGTAAAGTAATAATGGAATGTTGAGGAATAACAGTCTAGTTGAGTATCGAGTTGAAGATAACACAGTAAAGGTCCCGCACAGTGATGGTTACCTAAAATTGTAACTTGTAGCAATTAAAAACGAATAAATATATAAAAACAACTTTTAATTTAACGATTTTCAAACAGATTAGGAAAAACAAGAAACATATTTTCTCTAAAGAAAAATTAAACCTTAACTTTAATGGCCGTCAAGGTGTTCATGAGCAAGAATCCTCGCTCGATATCATCAAAGGAGAATGGAAAATGAAATGAATACCCGACCTTTGGATTTTAGGATAGATTGGTATGAAACATAACATGCACTTAACGAATAAATTCATATGAAAACCTACCCATCTGGAGATTTCGCTACTGAACCGATGAAAGCCCTTCGGCACTTCGCTGCTGATAATTGCAGAACGGCAACGACGAAGTATTTAGGGTTGTATCAACTAAAGACTGGATCGACTTTAGAACGGCAACGACTTTTTTGCTGTGCGGCCTATTTTTCAACCCGCCCCTGCTGCGCGCACCCGATTTTCACCATTATTGGACAATTTTATCCTTTGTTTAACCTTTTTGTTAGTTACTTCGAGTCTTCAACGCATAGACAATTTTCCCAAAAAAAATTCTATCCTCTTGTAATTTTTTGGTAATTCTTTTGCAATTTTCCCAAAAATGTCAGTTTATAGTAAATACGACATTTTTTTAACGGTCGGAGGTGGTGGTGCAGGGAGGCAGTACAACCACCTCCTGTCACCGAGGGAAAAAATATCAAATTCATTACGAATGCCATATTTTTGGCAAAAGTCAAAATGATTCAAGTTGGGAGAATGAAAATGTTTGCATTCTCAAAAAGTAATATGCCATTTTTTTGGAATTTAAAAAAAATGACATTGTTTACACCGATCGGAGGTGGTGGTGCAGAGAGGCAGTACAGGCGGTGGGAAAGGCATTCAAATTTTTTTACTTTTTTTATGGAGTTTTACTATTTTTTATTAATTTTCAAAAAAAAATTAAAAACAATGATTTTTTATTTTATAAAAATTTTATTAATAAGGAAAGTCTACCCATGTTCAGCTATAGCCCTCCTGCCGGACCTGCAAGCGCCTAGTTAAATCCAAAGTAACTCTAATACGCGGACCCAACATTTGCTTTCCGTCAAGAGTCTTCATCCACTTGCACAAACGAACCAATGTTGTTAGCTATTCCACGAGCTACCCTTACTGTCATGTAGCTTAACGATTTTTTTTTATTTTTTACTTTAGGGGGTCTGGGGGAGGGGGGCTGGGGGGTCTGGAGTAATCAGGGCTGAATCTCACTCCTTTGAGTTTCGAACCCTTATGTGGCTAGCGGGTTTCGAACTCGAGACCTCCCACTAGGCACGGTAACCTCACAACCAGCTGGGCTGGAATGCTTGATTCATGTAGCTTAACGGTATTAAGTTGTGTACCAGGACCCAAAAATCTGCATGGTCTAGTGAAATTTCAAAGGGTCTGTCAGTGACCCTTCGTCAATGACTCTTATCAGATCTCCTTCATGATAGAATTGTAATAGAAATTAGATACCCCAATCTCATCAATCGAAACTCCTTTAACTGGGCGCCATACCATGGCCATTGTTTGGAAGAAGGAAATAACACCGGTGGGTTTGTTCCCGACCACTCTAGCTACAGTCGATAGACAGATTCCCTCATTGGTCACATTAGCATTGTCTACTAAATCAGCTGCGAGCACCAAACCCCTATTCTCCTCCTTGGCTATAGAGATCATATTATATTTCTTAACAATCATATCCATTGCGAAGGATATATAATCTGAGAACACTTAACCACTCACAAACAACCTAGATCCACAATCAAATTTAAAGCCAAACAGAGCAATACGAATACAACTAAATACAATCCGACCAAAACTTCAAAACAATCAAATAGAGAAAAAGCGAAATCAAAGAACACGGCCACTATAGAGAGCCGACGCAAAAATGCAGCAACTGTAGAGTGCCGGAGCTGAAACCGGGAAGCAAACCCATAGCCCAAACATGATGGAAAACCCAGCGATAAAAACGAAAGAAAAGCAAAGAACGAAACAGAACTTGCCGTTGTGGAAGAGCCAACGCGAACAGACCCCAGAGCTGTGTATGGAGCAACGGTCAACCTCCTAGCCACTGTTGCATCATGCTGCGGAAATTCCGCCGTCTGCTTTAGGTTTTTTTTTTAAAGTTGAGAAGGCTCCAAGAATTAAAAATTTGTGTTTCGTGTTTTTTCGGGCTCAAGAAAACTCCAATAGTTAAAACTTCATTTTTTTCATTTATATATTACATATTGGTATCTGATAAGTCCGTATTTAGACATGCATTTGATGTGTGTTGTGATCGGCTATTGATGATTTTCCTATCTTTAAGGTGTTACAAGTCTCAATTTTAGCTCAAGTTATGTTTACCGGGCGTTGGTTCGAGTTTTGTGTTGTTTGTAGTCAAAATCAGGGAATTTGAGCCCCGGTACCGGCACTTGAGGAACAATCGGGATGATTTGAGAAGAATTTGAGAACGATTTGATAGCTTTGGAGGTCACCGGAAGATTCACGATGAAGATTTGAAGGAAAAAGAGCTCTAGGATTGGCTACGAGGTCAAAAGAAGATGAATGAAGCTTGAAAACGACGATCAGGATGACCTTCTGTTAATCGTTCAAGCATATCGCTTTGTAGAAACATCCAATGTACACGATTCAAGTTCCATATGAAATCTAACTTCAAGGGCAACAAATCATATTAAGACACCTTTGCGAGAATCTGAGAGGAAGAAGGTGAAAACAGACGATGAAGTCCGATGATCTCTGCTGCGATTTCAGAATGATACCTTCCACCGTTTTGATCATATCTCTTGATTGGATGATTCAAATCACATTCGGCAAATTGGGGTAGATAGAGGACTTCATTATATGCAACTTGCATGAATAAAGTTTTGTCAAATTCGGAAGTTAAGTAGGCACGATCGTGCCCTCAAAGTCAGGCACGATCGTGCCTGAAGAGAAAAGCACCGCGGAGCTACTGCCAGCCAGGCACGATCGTGTCTGGAGGGAGGCACAATCGTGCCTGCCCAAAATGTGCATTTTTGCTCCGGAGGCACGATCGAAGGCACGATCGTGCCTGGCTCCGAAAATCTTAATTCAGCTCAAATTTCACCCGATTTTTCTATTTAAACCGCCTGTAAACCCCCGTTTTCAAGGGGGGCTTAGAGAGAGTGCCTAGAACGAACTTTAGAGGGCTTTTCAGCCTTGTTCATCAATCTTTTGGGATTCTTTGTAAGTTCCACCTTTTTTATTAATGACAATTAATTCTATTCTTCCCAATTCTATTGATTCTTCAATTATGAATTGTGAATAGTTTAATTAGGGATGGGGATTCATGAAGGGGTTGATCATGATGTATGGATAGTTTCTTGATGGATTAATTGCATGAATGCCGTTTAATTTGTGTTTGAATAATTTAATTGATATCTTTTGTAACCTAGAATCGCGACTAGAATTACAATTGCATGTAGAATAAATTAAGAGAGATCTAATTTGTTCTATGACACATTCACACACACTTAATCGTTCGCTAAGAGATTAGTAGCGATTAAGGGGCCGTAAGCTCGCTCGTCTTGGCAATAATTTAGGATCCTGTCGCATGAGAGATCAGCCTGGTCCCCTAAATTATTGTACTCTACGCCGCGAGAGCGGTAAGAACTTAGTAATGATTAGCTAGGCTCAATTAAATTAATTTCATGTAATTAGGCCTGATCTGCCAGAAATCTGGTTACCCCGGAATCGATCCCTGTTCCCTTCGTCGTTAATTAGAAACAACCCCCTAGTTTAATTGTTCGCATTAGTTTTACTTTCCAAACCAACCAATCTCGCACGATGCATTTATTTTATTTATTTTTAATCGCTGAATTTAGTTAATTCTTAATTCCCTTTTGTCCGTCCCTGTGGAGACGATACTCGTACTTACACCACTATATTACAATCTTTTTTAAGTGCGAGAAAACTCACATTAGTATCATATGAAAGATCATAAAAAATCATGGGTTTTGATACTTTTTTGAAAAAATGGAGAACAAAAAAAGAGTTCTGAGTTGTAAAAATTGAGATTATAATGACGCAAGGATGACGTCATCCTCACACCCATGCAATGCACTCTCCGCCTCTCCCTTCCCCATTTCTTTTCTTTTTTCTTTTTGCCACTCATATCAACTCACTCTTTACTTTTAACTCCCTCATTGTCCACTCATATACCTTGTCTCACTTTTAATACTCCGTTTAACCTACCACTACATAAACTTAGGAGTCCAAAAATTCTATCTTTAACAATTTGGATTCCTAATACTACACATCTCCAAATGTCCTTAGTAGCCCCAAATTTCAGTTTATCAACCAATTTTTTTACTAAACATGTAACTTTTGACTTCTCATAATGAGTTATGTAATGATCAAAATAAGTATGGTTGGAGTTATTTTTGGCTGAATTGGATGAAATTATGGTAGAACATCATTTTAACTATTTTTCATGTAATATTTTCTTTATTTTATTTATAAAATGTATTTTAAATATAATTTTTCCATAATACAACATATTTAGCCAATTCAGACGCTTTAGCCAAAAGAATCTCATCAATTTCAGCATATTCCAATTGAAGTATTGAAGGCTTCCAAGGAGAATAGTGACCGGTCAAGATCCCCGCTTCATGGTCCGATTTTGGATAGAATTACTCAAGTTAATTACTTGAGACACACTCAACTTCTCTACAAGTTTTCACCCTCAAACTAATGGGCAAACCGAACAGATGAATGTGTTGCTAGAGTGCTACCTTAGGCACAATGTAAGTTCTAACCTACGAGATTGGCTAATACTCTTGAACATAGCGCAATACTTTTATAATTTGCAGAGGAGTGAGTCTACGGGACGAAATCTATTTCAGCTTGCAACAGGGTAAAAGCTATTGCCTCCACACATGTTGGCTATACCATCCTACGAAGGAAAAATCTCAAAAGCATTCAAGAAGGAAAATCTTGGAAGAAACAAGCCTATCTAGCTCATTCATGTTTGGAGAAAGTACGCAAGTGTATGAAGAATTGGGCGGACGAGAAGATGGGACTAGTAGTACATCGTGGGGGACTTGGTCTTTGTGAAGGTTTTACCTCATCAATTCAAGGCACTGAGAACTTTACAGAATGGCTTAGTCCATAGATACGAAGGACCGTTCCCAATTCAATCATTGATAAGATATAGAGGGTTTCATACAAGTTTGATCTACCTAGCACATTGAATATTGATCAATCTCTATACTCGCTAAGTATGCCCAAGCCATATCATGGAGACAAAGAAAACCCAAGCCGGGGAATGTCAGGTCAAAACCATTACCTGATTAAATGTAAGGGACTACTCAAGTTAGAAGCAATGTGGGAACTTGAAGAACACTTGTGACAGTTCCGGAACAAGCTAAAATTGATACACAAGGCGACATGGGTGTTACCAAGTTAGGTAGGGGGTGGATGATGGGTACTATTCATCTTGACTCGAAAATCATGAGGTTTTATGTACGTGAACTTCCCTGCTTCTCTAGAGTTCTCTAGAATTCTCCA